GGCAATTGGTATGTTACGTTTGATTAAATGAAGCGTAATCAGGAAGTCAAATAATTGCTAGAATTTTGCTCTTGCGAGAACATGTTGGACACGTCATCTCAACATGAAATGCTTAATAATAGCTAAAAGGATAAATGACGAATATAATATGCCAGAGTAACATAGAAGATTAATGTGATGGTGTACGTAGTTAACCGTATCCATGATCAAGACACTAATATTATATTTCTGAATACGGAAAGTTTTAATCCCTTAAAAATGCAGGCTTCTTAGTTCTCAATATACTTTTAGGGGGCGTTTGGTACAAGATATTTTGTAGGATTACTGGAAAACTGAATTTTTTTAAATTTTTAATTTTCGGATATTATCGTAAACTAAATATTTTCATCATACTTCTGAAAATCGAGATTCTCAGATAAAAAAAAATTTCTCCTCTACCAAATGTCATTTCTGCAGCCGTTGTACGTACAGCAACGACAGGTGTATCGTTATGATTCCTCACATTTAATGCTTTCATCCTTTGTATGGTTATGATTCCCTGCATTTAATGCTTTCAAGTATATATATGACAATTATTTGATTGCTGCATATACAGCAGCTGCAGAAATGTAAACCCCTATATATATATATATATATATATATATGAGATAAAATCATTTAATACCGATGTTAAACTTTGAAATTTGATACCAAATCCTAACCGTTGATTCTCGTCAATCAACGATTATTATTTATTGGGAATCAAACTCATTAATTAATTATAACTCTCAATAAATGATAATCGTTGATTGATGAAAATTATTAATTCCTAATATTGACGAAAATCAACTGTTAGAATTTATAGTGTCAAATTTCAAAGTTTGACACTGTCAAAGATCCTCCCGCATATCAATTTGGTGTCTCTCCGGTATTGAGATGCGAACAATTTATCTTCATTTCTTGGTGCAAAATAATTCTTTTATTTCGCAATACATGCTACTATCTCTATACCTTCTCCTTTGGCGCCATTGCGATATTTATGTGTATTTATGAGCAAGGCCTTTATTCTATTCTCTCGATCTCAATCCCAAGGTCAATCGTATTTGGTCTATGTTCATTTAAAATTTTAAAACTACACACTTGGACGCTTTGCAGAACAAAGGATCCAACTCCAATAAGTCCGGCAATTCGTACTCACCCCATCCCCCATTCTCAATTCACGCTGAAAAGCGAAAAAAAAAAACGAATAAAATTGTGTACATTTCAAGAAGAAGGACAAGGAATATGATATTTTGCGGTGCGGAGAACTTTGGATTTACATGCAACCATCTATTTTATAGTGTTCCAAGTTTTGAGAAAAATATAAATTTAAAAACCTGTACTGTAGATGAGGTCATGCATGAGTTAAGACTTGTAAATTTAGGGCTGGAAAACGTGACCCACTCCGCAACTTTATGTAGTTCGTAGACAGAATGAAAGCCTCCATTCCTTGCGAAATAATCAAGTTCTATAGATGCAATTATGCAAACCAATCTTGTTTCGGCCTCAATTATGAAATGCACATGGTCCATTTGCCGGGAGTCTCACTGGCATTTCTCTTCAAACCTTATTTTTATCCAGGGTTGCTCATGTGTATACATAGTAGTGCTAAGAGCGTTCATGGGTAAAAATTTAATCAGACCCAATTTTTGATTGGTCATCAACAACTAATATCGTGTAGAAATTAACTTAACTTGATATTTAAACAAAAAATTATAAATTGAGATACTATGCACGACTAAATCATAACCTTATTTCTTTTGTTGCCGAGTTAATCATAACATTTTTAAAATAGAAAACCAAAACACAGATGTTTTGCAAGAAACGTTCTCAGACAAATTATATTAACTATGACTGGAGCCCTACTTGAAAATATGTTACGCATAATTTTCAAAACTCAAACCTGTATCAATTAATTCAGGGTGGCGTAGACTATCGGCCGCATGGGTCTGAACCACCCCTAATTAACACATTGCAGGTTTCGCTTTTCACAAGCTGACAAGCAATTCAATAAACATGGTCTAAGACTCTAAGCTCTTGGTTACTCTTTATTTCCTTTTTATATTCTTTAGCCCATTTTTTGATTTTGACTTGGAGGGCAAAGATGCGATGAAGTGCATCCGCGAAACTTACTGATCCAACACTTACAACAACTAAGGCAGTAATACATTATTTAGGCCCAGTTGCACAAACGACCAAAATAAATGATGTAATCTTAGTTGGGGTTGGTCCGAAGACTTTAAAGTCGAATTTTTTTGCTGGACTAATGCCAGACAACAGAGTATAGGGCCATGGCTAAGCGTAGGAGCAATGAAAAACGGAATATAAAATACTTGAACAGCTGAGGATTATCAATAATGGAAAATATGTTAGAGCATTTGCGAGTTCTTACTTGTCGTATTCTAATGCACTGCTGGTGGGTTATAAGGCATGTGCCAGATATTCCGACAGGTCGGTCCCCTCCTGTCTTACTAATGCTAGTAGTAACTCACGATGGTCAGTCATGATGTCGGTCATCACCAACTCTTTCCCCATGGCAACAACCCAGCTCTAATATTATGAAGGCAAGAGAAAATAAAACACATTTTATTAAATTTGAATGTCTATAGATATCCTAATTAACATAATTACATAATTCGATTGGTCTATACCATGAACTTAGACACCATTGACATATTTGCCAGCACTCTCTCTGAAACTAGAGCAACCTCCACTATTTGTTTCTCACAAGGAGTATGTTGGCATAGTCTATTGTCTTCACAAATTTTTAATAGTCTTAAACAATCTCCTTAGGTTTATACGTTGACGATATTGTTATCACTATTCAGATAAAACAATCTCTTGGTCATCACTTGCATACCAAATATCTTAGCAAAGATCAATACTTCTTGGGAATAAAGGCAGCACAATTTATGGATGGTATCATAGTTTAACACGGGATACATGCTATTGACATTTGAGTAATGCAAAGTCAGTTGACACTTCTATGGATACAAAAACTAAACTCCTATCAAATCAAGACGAGCCACTTTGGGACCTTGGAAGATATAGAAGGTTGTTTAAAAAACTGATCTATCTCACATCTTATCAATGACCTGAACCACTTGCAAACTCATTTAGCTTAAACAACTATTTAGATAGCTCCAGGCAAATGACACTAGTTTCTGATAACCAAGCTACATTACACCTTGCCTCCAATCCAATATTTCACAAGAACACCAAACATATTGAGGTAAATTGTTACTTAAATAGAGAAAATATCATCTTGAAATATTACTTGAAACATTACCACTAGCTTCGTGAATGGAAGGTCACAGATTTGAATATAGGAAACAATCTCTTTACAAAAATACAAGGATGATTCTATGTATAAAAAACCATCATCCCTACTCTTGCAAAGTAGAGGAGTTTTGTACACTAATGATTGCCCTTTATTATCATTAGCTTTGTCCACTCAAATGATCAACTACCATATATTTTCATTATAGTTGTAAAACATCCACGATTAAGTTGTCCATATAACAAGCTTAGTACATATGACTTATATGCTCCTACTTGAGGGGGAATGTTGGTAATGTAAATAGTTTCCAGGTTCATTGTATCATGAAAGTCTTCTTATTTTTTACCTATACAATTCAGTCTTTCCTCATAGCCCCCAACACAACGATTTCACAAAATGTCTCTCGTTTCCTCTTCCTTGAGAAATCAAAGCTGCAGTGACCACTCACTTATACCAAACCATACATAAAAAATGTGGAATCTTGAGTGAGGAAGACTAGATTATAGTTTCATTGGTAAATTGCATTACCCAGAGCAACATCAACCCATCAGCCATGCATACATGTGTGCCAGATTAAATTCAACTTGACATTTTAAATTTTTTTAGGGTTTGCTGCCCCAACCCACCTTTCTCCACGTAACAACTATAGTTCCCTCATGAACATGAGTTCTGCCCTCTTTAGTTGTCTTGTTTTACTGGTGTAATCATTGAACTGAAAAAAGGTCAGATCCTTTTCAATCCAAAAGCAACTCAAGACCAAGAAATACCTATTGGTACGAAGAAAATGATAAAAATAAAAAAGCATTGGCAAAACTCTTTACCACGTATATTTGAATAAAAGCAATCTCTATCATCTAGAAACTGAGATCTCTCATTCAATTATCGTCAGAACATCCCAAAGGAATGAAAGCTATCTAATCTTTTTTGCAGAGAAGGAAACTGAATAATTTTTTCAATATTAGGAGAAGAAATTCTTAACCAGAAAACATGCAACACATTTAATGAAACTCAAAGGAAAGAGGGAGCCAGCAGAGTCAATGAAAAATACAATCAGAAATTACAAAACATAGGTTGTTAGCTGCTTATGCATACATGCTCCATATAGAGATGAGATAACCATCAAAAGCTCAATTGCAGATGTAGATAGAACAACGCATGCAACTATTGTGAAAGGATTCCATAAGTATACAAGAACAGCGAAATCTCCCAAAGGAAAATTCTCTATAAACAACAAAGATAAAATGGAAGAACAAGAATTTGCATTGAATTTCAGAATTATTCATAGCCTGACATCACAATTTTTAACATCATATTATGTGCTCATAACTTATCCACCAGAAAAATGAATACAATATCAAAAGTTTTCTTCTCATGAATTCGACAAAAACCTTCGTTGTTTTTACAACCAAATGCCACACTGGTTTAAGTCTCACACAGATGCAATTTTGATCCACAAGTTTCAACATTATGGATAAAACTATGAACTAATCCTTTCAATTAATAAATATAATCAAAATGCGATGTTTAAACACTGTGTACCTCCAATGTCTATTATTCCTTTATTCTTTTCCATTTTAAACAGGTGTGGATGCTGCATATTTCTGGCTAAAATCTAGTGGAGGATGATAAATTCAAACAAACATGATACTTTTGTTATATCTAGGTATATTGTAGAAAACACTTTATTGCAAAATTATTAAACTTAAAAATAAATTAAAATCCATATTTCCAATTTCAACCAATATAGCCTCCAGATTGCCAACCAAAAGATAAACGTAGACTCTCAAGAACCAACTTTCATTTTCCTCAGGTGAAACAAATCCTTGACAATTTGGTTATAATTCTTGGTTCCAATCATTGAGGTGCTTCATTTCCTGTAATTTCCTTCCACTTCTAATACCACGTCCAAAAGGAAAGGAAAGAGAAAGCCAAGAGTCAACAGCAGCAGTGCATCTTTTTCATAGAAAATTATTAACACCATCTGGTAATCTTCAGCAAAGTACCATGATATACTAATCTCATAATACAGTCAAGTACCATATAATAACCTCTCTCTTTGACAGTAAAAGATCTCTTTATCTGCAAATGGCCTTCATACTTACGCATGCTCATTCTATTCATTACTTTAAAATATAATAAATAAAAATGGAAAAAGCAAAGATGATGGTAACATCTGAAATATGAGCAAAAAGATCACACTTTTAATATGTGAAATATGAGCAAAAAGATCACACTTTTAATATGTGCTGTTAGAGTATCTTGGGAATATCTCATAATATTATTATTGTATCTTAAAATATCTTAAAGTATTTTGGGTGATCTGTTAAAGTGGTATTCATATTTTATTATATTTCTTGATTTGTTTCCTTAATTGATAAGGATTGAGAGAGCTAAGAGTTTAGTATTAGTATAAATAGGGGTTATTATTTTGTCTTTTGTATCACATCATTCATAGAATATTATTGAGTGTTATGTTTCTCATGTCTTATTTTTCTTTCCTTTTCTCAACACATGCTAATAACCTGAATTTTCTGATAAGTGATGAAGGCCTGTGAATTTTAAACTTGAAATACATGCCATCTGAAGGCTTTTCATGCGCAGCTCAAATGAGCTTGCATTGACTACATCTGCAGCCACAAAAACCAAACTGTATTCAGAAATGAGTTAATAATGACTGCTTACAAAAGTTCCCAAGATACATCGGTAGAAGAATAAGGATGAAGAATTGCATCATTTGGATCAAAAGAAAGAGGAATGGCAATTAGGATAATCACATGTAAAAATCATTTAGGCCTACGGTAGGTACAGATTAAACAGTGCAAACGAATATTTTCAAATTGTTGTTCCTCATCTACAAGATGTACATAATCTTAGTTGGAAAAAGATAACACCATTCATGTCAAGAATGCTCTGCATCACCCAAATGATGATGAGAAATATTTACCAACGAAGATCAAGCAATCATAATTAGTAGAATAGGAAATAAACAACTAGTAAAATAATAATTACAATTAAAAACCCAAAAAAAACTTTACCTGCTGCATAAAAGATTATCAGGCTGAACTTCAGTTCTGTACCGCAGCAAATTTTCCAGTGTGATTATACCATAAGAATTTCAAGCAGTACAATTTAAAAATCCCAAGCTGTCTTTGCAAGTTCATGATTGGGATACACATAGAATTAAAAGTATATATCATAGAAGAACCTAGTTTCAATGGCTGATATAATACACTTGATTATACCTTGTAACCGTTTGTGGACCGAGAAGCGAAGCATCAATAGCAGAGGAGAACTATGGAATATTGATCCTGGCAAACGAACAACAACCTGAAATCTTTTAGAAAAACACATATAATAATACAATGAGAAAAACCTCATCGGGTGACATGGATCTTCACAATGCCTTCGCATTATTCATGGCGCAGATCGGAAACTACCATGTCCGCACATTCCGCGACACTGCCGTTGGGTCGAGGACCACCAAGATCAGCGAAACGACTTCATTATCAAACCATTCACTGTCGTTTGCTTCTTCTTTTTTTTTTCAAAAAGAAATTGGCAAATCTTTTTTTTTTTAAGAAAAGAAAAGTAGTATTGTGAAACATTGAATCAGAGAATCTATCTAATTGAATTTGATTCCTGAAAAAACTAAGTTTAATTCACAATAAATAAATGTTATTAGGTTTTAATATATTCACGATAATACTCAATTATTTCTTTATTTTTTCATTTTTTATTTTTAAAATATTTAGTTTTTATCAAATGCAAAAGACAAAGGATGGAATTATCAAATGGATTAACACAGCAAAATTAAGCTACTTCACTTGATCCATTCATTGGCTGGGTTAAAATAGGGGTGCGGGTATGTACCAAAAAAAAATAAAAAAAATAGGGGTGCGGGTGTCCACAGTTTAACAAAAATAAAGTAAACACCATTTTTTGTCACTGACAATATCTACGAAATTCTTTTTAGTCTCTGGCAATAAAAAAAGACCAAATTGGTCTCTAAAATTATGAAAAAAGGGTCACGTTAGTCCTTATGTCAACTCCTCCGACACTAACGTGACCCTTTTTATATACTGTTAGGGACCAATTTGGTTCTTTTTTATTTCCAGGGACTAAAAAAAATTTCATAGATATTGCCAGAGACCAAAAAAGATGTTTACTCTAAAATAAAATAGGGGTGTCCATCGGATCGGATTGACTCGGTGAATTCAATAATTCAAACTAAATCAAATGAAATAGTTTGAATTAATTTAAATATTTGGTTCCCTTCATGATAAACTCGATTCAGACCAATCACCATTAATTTGGTTGTCAAATTTATTACTTTCATGGAGACTAAAATTTTGGAGATAGATGATTAGGTTTAACTGTTACTAAGCTTTAATTTGGGATTAATTTTATAGTTAGCTCAAAAAATTGAAGTTTATAGGGATATTTAGGGCCTACTCGTTTAACATTTTGGAACACGTGATCAACGTTTTAACATGTAGTCAATATTTTTCGACATGCGGTCAACTCTATTATTTACTTATTTATGTAAATATTTCAAATTTTATTTTATTTTATTTTTTAAATAAACATGAAAAATAAATTTATAAATCAAACATTTTTTGGTATGAAATTTGACTTGAAAAATTAATAAGGCATAAAAAATTATTTTTGTTTTATATTTATGTTATGAAATTTAAATATTTTATTAGTTATATGACTTATTATATTATGGGCTGCTATATGTACGAGATATAAATAATATTATATGGCTTTTTGACTTATTTGGAGATTTTATCCTTTTAATTTTTCAATCTGATATTTGATTCACGATATTTATCAATAAGGGCCATTTAATGACACGGGGGACTCAGCAGCACTGATTGTCGCGACCCTCTCTCCACGTCACTCACACATTTCTTTATTTTTATTTTTATTTTTCAATTGAATTACGCCCCCACCTCTCTCTGGCACTCATAGGATTGTGCCAAGTGACACAATCTCGTTAGTCTCTTTACCGTAAAATTTCAGAAGATCATAACTTTTGACACAGGTATCCAAATTAGATGATTTTTTTATTTCACATAATTTTTCGAGATTTATGCAAGGACACCTCATTTGGCATATTTTATCCTTTCAAACATAGTTCAAATTTATAAAAATGTGGAACTATTGTTGCAAATTTGAACTATGTTTATGGAAGATAAAATATGTCAATTGAGGTGTCATTGCGTAGACCTCAAAAAGTTATGTGAAATAAAAAAAATCATCTGATTTGAATAGCCAAGTCAAAAGTTGTGATTTTTCAAAGTTTTACGGTAACAAGACTAACGAGATTGTGCCACCTGACACAATCATATGAGCGTCGGAGAGGGGTGAGGACGTCACTCAATTGAAATTTTTTTTTAAAAAAAAAAAAAAGGTGTGAATGACGCGGGGGAGGATCGCGCACTCAATGTCGCTGGGTCCCTCTGCGACATTCAATCACTCTCATTAGTAAATATCATGAATCAAAAACCAATTTGGTATGTTAGAACCTCAAAAAGTCCTTTTGGGTGAAAGAGCCCATATTATATATATTAAAATATTAATTTATATAAAAACGTATCCTAATATGATAAAATCTGACATTTTTTAAAATTAACGTGTCAGCATATCGTATCATGTCGTATTCCGTGTCACGTATCAATACAACATAAATTATATTTATTACTATTTAAGATTTACTACTCATGGTTATCTTGAACTAAACCAACCCAGTACTGGTTGAATTAGTTTGATACGAATTATTACTTTTTTCAAAAATTAAGAAAAAAACTAACCTAGAATTTATTTTTTGATACATAAAAACCAACCTGTTTTTTTTTCTTAATTTGATACGAATTGGCCGTAGACGCTCATAGGTCAAATTATGTGAAAATTATCTAGCTGGTCTAAATTTAAGTGGCTCACTTAAATTATTAAGGAGTTAATTTTAAAATAAGAAAATAAATAATGAAATATACAAAATAAAAAATTAAGTTGTAAAGACCCTTTACGACATTATAAATTATTTTAATATATAATGTTAATATTGTATAAATTTTTTATTCTAATTAAATCCTATACTTATAACATTCCATAAGCATATAAATAAATGTTCGAGTATTAAATTTATCAGGTAAGTAGAGAAAATATTTTTAAAAGACTTTATTAGTGTTATGTAACCGAAGAGTCACCCTCTCAGGCTAGAGACACAATTATGTGTGGGATTATCTATTTATATAAAAAAAAAAACACAGAAATTAATGTACATATAAGAAAGAAAAATATTTTTCAATAATACGAGATTATATTTTTGTATTTTTAAATTCACTCGAAAACAAAATTTACAAATATAATATTTCTAGAGGAAGGATATTCTCACAATCAAAATTTTTCACTACCAATTTATTACCTATATAATCACCATTAGATTATATAATGGTGTGTCAGGTCGCGGGTTCGAATCAGCCTCTCTGCAAAAAGCAGGGGAAAGACTGCCTCGAGTATTCCCTTCCCCAGACACTCACGAAGTGGGTATTTGAACTGGGTCGGCCCTTATAATCACCATTAGATTAACATTTTCTCTCTCTTCAAAAACTAACATTATCTCTCTTTGATTCAATGATGATATAATGGGTAGTAAGCCAGTAGTAAGAATTTTTGGTAATTAAAATATCCTCTCTCATACTTCTATTAATGTTATTCTTGAAAAGATGATTATATACCTTAAAAAAAGCTGTCCATTAATAGCAAAATGAGAAGTGGGAACCTCCACAGTTGCAAACTGGAAAGTGGGAAGTGTTTACTTGCTGTGGCGTCCAAGTATCTTTTGAAGCTTACGTGTAAGACCAATAAGCTCGCAGCGCTGCAACTTTGCCTTTTACCAAAACAATATAATAAATAATAATTAATTAAGGACTAAGAGAATGATATTGTTATATTAAAACTTTAGATTTAGAAAAAAATTTATGTTTATTCCTTTCTTTGTAAGTATTAAAATAGGTGGATTTTATCAAAATTTCTAAATATCTTCATAATCATCTATTATTTGGAATATTATTTTGACTCAATTCTTTATTATTAAATAGATCTTATTTAAATCTCATCGAATTAAAGTAATATCAAGTTATTTAATAAAGTTATTAAATATGTTATTATTTTTTGCCTAGGGGTTTCTGTTTCTGTATGAAGAAAATTATAAATAGATCCAATGGGTGCAGCTCAGTTGGTAATTTGACGCTGAGTTAGTGGGGTTGGATATGTGTTCGATTCCCGCTGAATGCGTTCTTGGGGAGGGGGCTGAACCTTTAGCCATTCCTCCGCACTCCGGATTAGTCCCATAGCCGGCTCAAAGAGTTGAAGCTCGTGGGATACCGGAGGAAGCCAACTCGTCTCAAAGAGATAATTAGGGTTGGGTAACTCCAAAAAAAATTATTTAATAAAGATTGATTTATAATAAATAAGAAATCAAAGAATTCACCAAATAGCGTATAAGACTGGAGAAGTCCAACCAATCTTCTTTCCCGAATTTATCCCTGCAAATTATCCCGTCAAGACCAAAACGCCCTCTCTCTCTCTCTCTGTTGGGTAGAGGGTACAAGCAGACCCAGCGCTTTATATTTGATATTTCACCCAAATATCTCTCTTCACTTCCCAGACAAAAAAGAAATCTCTTTTTTATTTTTTTCTGAAAAGAAAGCTGAATTTGTGTTTCATACAATTCTGATTTCAATGGCGAGGCCTAATCAGGATGCAATTGAGACATTCATCCACATCACAGGCTTATCTGAAGCAATCGCAGTGCAAAAGCTCGAGGTTAATTATCTTTTCTCCTTTTTAATCCTTTCACGATCATGTTATCTCAAACTATCTCATAGTCTCAATTAGAATGGAAGGTAAATAAAGTTATTCATAGGTAATAATTAGGGTTTTTTTTTTTTTTTTTTTTGCCTTGCGTGCTGAGTGCAGTTACCCACCTAGGTGCATTCGGAATTCTTTTTTGTTTGTTGATTGTTTGCTCTAAAGTTAGGATTTTGGATTATCTAGATGCTTCTGTTTGCCGACCCTGATGAATGAGGGTCGATCATAACCAACACACCATGTTTTTAACTATTCATCGATTTAACTTAGTCGGATTAGTTTCCTTTTATTTTCAAAAGTACGGTTAGATTGTCTAATCCTTCTTGGAGTCACTGCAATTCTAGGATGTTTGCTGAATTTGAAGCTTCATAAAGAGTTTACATATATTATGACCTCGGATTATGTATGTACTATTTTTGACCGGATACTTACACATGAACTTGGAAACTTACTCTTGCTTAGAATTTTAGACATGTGAGATCCCTCACACTTTGGATGCGAGTTTTAGCATCTAAATTATCCATACATTATCTCATAAAAGTGGTATATGATGTCTGGTCATTTTGTATAGAACCAGTTCTGTTTAGATTTTGTAACTAGAGATTTTAGGCATTTATCAATGATGTCAGGTGGTTGTTTATGTCTCTCATCATTTGTTAATGTTATCACTCTTCAGGAGCATGGGGGTAACCTTAATGAAGCTGTCAATGCACATTTTAGTGAAGGAGACAGAAATTTGTCAACCAGGTATACTCTTTATGTCATTAGTAAGCCAGTGAGCTTCTGAAGTCTAACTTGTCAAACTGGTATTACTCTATGTGTTCCTCATGTTCCTTTTAATTCATATGATATTGATATCTTAATTCATTCCTTCATGGCTAGCACGCACGATACCTCTGCTGCTGTTCCACAAGTTCCACAAGATGATTTCATGGATATAGACAATGAACGTCCTGTTGAATTTCGCGGACCTCTTTCACTTTTATCTTCGGCAAGAAATAATCCGTTTTCTCTTCTAGATCCAACATTTGGACGAAGTATACTTGATACTCATCTTGATTCAACAAACCAAGCACCGTTTGTTACTCATCCAAGAGAGGTAAGGGAGATTCCCATAGAGTTTAAGGATGGTAATCAATCCACTCCTCAAGCTGGCCATGTTCCAACTGTTGAGGATGTCACTGGAAGTGTTCATGCCCATGGTCCAGATAATTATGGGACTGTCATAATTAATGATGAAGATGATGATGATACTTCACCTGCCCAGAATGCATATCAGGATGAGCAAAAACAGAAGATCTTGGCTGATACATCACTTGACAGAAGTGCTAGACCCAGTGCTCCTACATTTGATAATTTACCAGATTACAGCAATGACATAGAAGAAGAAATGATCCGTGCAGCAATTGAGGCTTCGAGACGGGAGGCCGAGGAAAAACACCCAAATCACAACCTTGGTAGACAAATTGTATGTTTCCTTCTTGATGGATTTCTCATGCTCTGGTATACTGAATGATTGCCTTGCCTTAGTATTTATTTCCCACCTGATGCAGGATTTAAGTGAATCTGGGCCTCAGCCAAGGCAATCTGATTTGGAGGATCCTGAGCTTGCCCATGCAGTTTCATTGTCCCTGAAGGTACACTTTTATTTTATTTTATTTTTCTTATTCTTTATGATAGCCTGCTTGAACCTGCCATTTTGAACACGTTCACTATGATAGATTGGTGCTTTCACTTTTGTTTTTCATTAATAATGGAAATTGAGAACCTTGATTGCTTTTAACATCAAATGAGTCCAGGCAGCTGAGCAAGAAAAAGCATGGCGTGGGAAAGGAGATGTTGGGGCACCAAAAGTAGGTTCATCTAAGTCGTCTGAGGTGGAACTAGGGGAAGTGGCATCAAGTGGAAGGTATTCTATTTATGCTTGTTTTCACTGTTTTGGTCTGCTCTGTTGGCTGCAAAGAGCTCAGCATTTTCCCTTCTTGCGGTTGTTGAATCTGAAATGCGCAATATGGTCATTCTAGATTGCAGACAGGAAGCTCATCCATCCAAGAAGAAGGTGAAGACTTAGAAGAGCAACCTCTGGTTAGGAACAGGTCTAGACGTACATCTTTGGGCTTCAGAGAGTCAGCCAAAGATGTTGAAGTTATTGAGGCTAGCACACTGCCAAGCACAGGACAGCAGGATGACAGCAATCTTCCTCAGCTTAATGGAAACTCCTTCCCTGATGAGGTATAGTCCTTCATTTTATTAGTTTTCAAAAAGAAGTTATGCTTGTATTTGTCATAGTATCTTAAACTCATATTGTCCATGCTTCCTAATTTTCAATATTTGACTAAAAAATGAAATTGAAGTGGGGTGGCATTTCTTCTGAGGAGCATGATGAAGCAGTTATGCTTGAGGCTGCAATGTTTGGTGGGATCCCAGAAGGGAGTGAGTATCGCTATCCTTATGCTCCGCATGAGTTCATCCAGAGCAGGGGTTTCTATCCTCGCCCAACACCTCGCCCACCTTCACCATCATTGGCAGCTCAGCGCCTGATAAGGGAACAACAGGTATGACTTATTTCTTAAATTGATTGGAATTGTGGGTTGTAGGAGATGGCCTAACCTAACTGCTGCTGTTGCTGTCTATGTTTATTTAATGCAGGATGATGAATATCTTGCATCCTTACAAGCGGATAGAGAAAAAGAGTTGAAAGCCATAGAAGAAGCCGAGGCTGCGCGGGAAGAGGAAAAGCAGAGAGAGGAAGAATCTCGCAGGAAATTACAGGAAGAGCAGGTAATACATTTGTAACTAATTGCATGGTTTTTACATGCCCGTTGCTTCCTATTGCTAGTGCTCATAATTTTTGTTTTCCAATTTTTTTTTTTATATTTAAGGGTAAGCCTGGAGCAGGGGCAAAACTGCTCCTTTGTGACTGAAAGGTCACGGGTTTGTATCCGAGAAATAACTTCTTTGCAAGTAAGCAAGGATATGACTTCGTACAAGGATTACCGTCACCACCACCCTTGCTAGTTGGGATTTAATGGGGAGTGATTATTTATTTTTATATTTAGGGCCAATCTAAGAGGGCAAGCCTGGAGCAGTGATAAAACTGCTCCTTTGTGATGGAAAGGTCATGAGTTTAAATCCGGGAAAGTCTCTTTGTCGGTAAGGCTGTGTACAAGAATTGCCCTCACCTTTATCCTCCCTAGTCGGGGTTTAATGAGGAGTGATTTTTATATTTAGGGCCAACCTGGTAATAAAAGAGAGCTGCCTTGCATTTCAGTTTTATTTATATTTCCATTGTCATGCATTTCTTGAAGAGAGAGAGAGAGAGAGGGAGAGAGGGGGGGGGGGGGGGGGGGATAGGAGAGGCAGTTGTTAGAGATTTTGTAGGGTAGGGAGGATTTTCATTTTGTCATGAATTAAATGTTGTATTCTACTGTTTTCTTTCAATGGGTTGCATCCTACATATATTTTATATAGAGGAGAAAATTATCTTACACCAATGTATATCTAATCTTAGTTGTTGATCCAACTTACATCTAAAAATGTAAATGACTAATAAATTAGAGTTCTTAGATATAAATGATCAACGGCTAATAAAGAATGTAAGATTTATTATTCTTATACCAGTGTGAATTGATTTTTCTCCATGTATACTATTAGCTTGTGCAAAACCTATGAATGCTTGCTCCTATTTCCGAATTACTTCTTACTCTTGCATTCTGCATCATTCTGGGAATCTGTGTTAGGAATTAGAAACAGAGTTAGCTGCAAAAGAAGCCTCTTTACCACCAGAACCAACCTCCGATGATGAGAATGCTGTGACCTTGCTAGTGAGAATGCCAGATGGCAGCCGTCGTGGACGCCGATTCCTTAGATCTGATAAGCTACAGGTAAAGACCTGCAAGAAAATATGTTGTTTTCCTCCAATGTCTCTAGAATATTTTTGCTAAACTTGATTATGGGATTTTTCAGTCTCTTTTCAACTTCATAGATATTGGTAGGGTGCTGAAACCAGGCAGTTACAGACTGGTGAGTATACCCCGTTGCTTTTCAATTTTATCATAATTCCTACCCTTAACATGGCATATATCCTCATTGACATTGTGATCGCTCGTCTTTAATGTTACTACTGGACAGGTGAGACCTTATCCTAGGCGTGCTTTTACTTATGAAGAAAGTGCATCAATACTTGAAGAACTTGGCCTGACCAACAAGCAAGAAGCCTTGTTTTTGGAGTTAATCTAATGCCCTGATGCAGATTTTTAGAAAACATTTGATTGAAGCTTTTAGTTTATTATTAAATTATGAATCCATACACCCGACCATATGGAATTTCAATCTGGTTTATGCTGTTTGGATGAAGATATTTATAAAATTTCTGTTCTACAAGATCAGAATCAGATGTACAAAACTATCCGTTTTTACATGTGATGAATATCCGTGGGGAATTTTTTCATCATATACAGTTGGGTTGCAGTTTCATGAAAATGATATTGTACATATTCCTTCCCCTCCTTCGCGTGGTCTTTTTCAGTCTCCTTCCTCCATCCAAACGACGGATTTTAAACTCGTGTCCATATCACTTTCAATTATATATTTTTTTCCTAAATTGGATTAAAATCTTGTATATTTATTTACTATTTGTTAAAAGATCTTTAACACAACCTTGGTAATTTTTTAAATTCAGAATTGATATATTTTAAAATTCCCGCTAGTGTAGATGTATAATTAGAATTTAAGAGTTTATCTATAGTTATTTAGGTTTCTTTCTTCTTCTATTTTTTGGTTAGGGTTCTTTATTAGATCAAGTGTTTTTCTTCTTTTTTTTTTCTAGATATATTAACCAATGGCTAGGGTAAGGTTATTGAATCATAATATGTATTGTGTATCGTTTAATCGATTTTTCGTATTCTGTATCGTTAATCATATCGAATCTTAAGATACAGAAATATAATAAAAAATAATTTTAAAATATTTATTAAATTTTTTCTTTTATTAATATAAATTTTTCAGATTAATTTTTTAGTTTAAATCACAAATTAAATTTTTATTTTCTTTTCCTTAATAATAATAACTTTTTAAATTTTTTTAATTTAAATCAGAAATATTTAATATATATTTAATTTTTTCTTTTATTAATATAAATTTTTTAGATTAATTTTTTAGTTTAAATCACAAATCAAATTTTTATTTTCTTTTCCTTATTAATAATAACTTTTTAGATTTTTTTTTTTAATTTAAATCATAAATGAAATATTTCTTTTTTATATTAAAAAATTATACATTTTGATGTAATTTTTGTATCGTATGATATAAATATGTATAATATCGTACGATACCGTATATATCGTCTGATACAAATCCTTTCAAGGTACTATACACATTATACAGTGTGTTGTCTAGACCATTGAGAATATAATTTCGGCAAAGAAAGTCAGAATGCTTCCAAGCATCAATGACAACAACCTTTTCCTTATCAGGTTATTCTCCCTCTTTCAACTTAGGAGCTTATTCCTTGAGTTGTCAAATAAAACATCTTTTTATTGCCAACGTTTGAAATCATTCCCATTAAATTTTTTGGGTTTCTCAGCATGCATTGGAACAGAACCAGTAAGATTGACCAAGTTGGTACTTGCACTTGTCATTTATGTTACAGAAACAGAAACTCGAATTAATCACATAGATTAATATCGTAATTGCACAATAAATAGTAAACAATATATAATGCAAAAATAAAATATACTGAATCACATATTCAAAACACAAATTGTCTTAAGATTGTTGTAAAAGACAGTGGACGAAAATTCACCTATAGATTCGAATCTATGTATGATTGCAGAGATAGTAATTAACGATATAATTAAAGTGCAATAAAAAATTTAAGAACGGACTAACTTGATCAGAAATAAAAGCATGCAGAATATGATGAGGAATCTGAGCCTAACACAAGTTGTCTCCTTAAGACAATTTATTCCCTCACTGATGTCGAAGGTTGATGAACACTTGTCTCTCAGGATAGAACAATTTGCGTCTTTAGAACGATGGTACTATCGATCAGAAGCCTGTACGAACACAACAGGATGCCTGAGGAATCACACCGGAAAGTATGGATGCATGCATGTACGGACGAAGAAAAAATCCGGCAGAGTAACGATACAAAAATTTCGATAATTTTTTGAAGGGATCAGTGTTTATATATAGACACTGGAAATACATGATGAACAGTCACCGACAAACCGCCGCGACTGACGACGATGAATCATTACAATCGGTGATCAATTCGGTTCAGACTTAACCGAACGCACCACTTCGGTTCAAAATGAAACAGGCAGGAAGATACAAATTGGCTAGAAAAATTCAGAGGGAAGCAACGTTTCAGATAGGGGCATTTTGGACAAAAATAATTAAAATAATTTAATAAAAAAATATTTTTATTTCACACACGTGCGAGATCGAATCGAGCCGAGTCAGTCGGACGAACAAAGGCGGCGCGTGTGTGGTTGACCAATGACCACCTAACTCCTCTCTCCTCCACAAAATATGTAGTGCCCCAAGAGGCCAACTAAGATTGTGAGGTGGGAGCATATATACTTTTTCACCTCTTACTAGTTGTCCAATATGAGACTTCTTCATTTATAACCCACACATTTTTTTATCTTCCCTTTCTTTTCTTTTTCTTTTAAACCACTTCTTATTCATAACACATGGGATTTTATACATAAATTCTAACACTTGTAACTACCTAGAATTTATCCACTAACTTAAAATAAACCAACAATTAGAAAATAATAAAATAACAAAACCGTAACATTCCCTGCCCCTAAATTTACTCTTGTCCTCAAGAGTAAAATCAAGTGATTGAATCATCTTCAATATCTATGTTAACCTCGCCATTGTTGTTGATTGGAAAATATCCTCTAGCCATGATCATTTCATATCTAAACCAAAAATTTGGGGTATAGATCGAGAGGCCTTGTTTGATTGAGATACTTTGACCGCGGTGAAATTTTTAATTGCAATGGTAGTGATAAGGGGGATTGCTCGATTGGTGGAAAGAGAAAGAGATAAATATTTGGGAGTAGAAAGCCTCCTGGAATGAAATGAGAACAATGACAATGGAGGTGAGGATGTGGTTTGGTGGTTGGTATTGGCACATCTAGCCGCTTGGAGAATACCTCCTTCAATTGAACGGAGAGTGTCCGAATTGCATCTTCTAGTTTTTCTAACTGTTTCTACATACCTAGTGGGCTATGTTAACAAATTGTTACATATATAGAATGGTAGTTTTATTGAGGAAGTTCGACCTCTTGCACAAAGTGCTTTTGCAAATAATTCATTTGATGATTTCTTATTCCCATATGTAGAGAGTTTAAATAGACAAAGTATAATTCGAAAATAATAACAACCCACTACAACAACTAAACATATTGAAGTAAAATAAACTACCCACTACTAGCACTTACCTTGTAACTACCTAGAATCCATCCACTAACTTAAAATAAACCAATAATTAAAAAATAATAAAATAACAAAACCGTAACATTGTATTAAAATAGTCCAAAGGCCTAATTTATTAGAGTAGCGTTATTCTTACAACCTAAAAGTTTTATAACATATTTTTTCACTATTGATTTTCGTCAATCAAATGTTATGATTTATTATAAATTAATGATTAATAATAAATATGACCCGATAAATCATAACTGTTGGATTGACATAAATCAACGGAGAAAAATAAGTTGTAAAACTTTTATATTGTAATAATAATGCTGCTCAATTTATTATTGAAAACTTTTTTTCCTTCTATTGAAGATCCATGATTATGAATGACTAACAAAACTTTTGTAAACAGATTTGGTATTAGTTTTTTCATTTTACATGAGAAATTTTTTTCTTCCTATACATATAATAAATGAGTGGGGTCCACAAAAAAGTAAGAAGACAAAAAAAAACAATGTAGTTTTTCTCTAAAAAAGAAATGTATGACTTGTTTTTTTTTAAGTAGACGACCAAGTTTTAGTTAAGGTTTAATTTTGATTAATTTTTAGAAAAAAACTATTACTTTAAAAAACTAATTATAAATTATTTTAAATATTAATAAGTTAATTAAAATTTACATTTAATTTATACAAATAATAATTTACAAAAGTTACTAGAAAGAATGAACGGGTATCACTTTCTTTTGAAAGCTTATAAGAGCAATATTGTTTGAATATTAAAATATAATTATAACACTTTTTATATTAGCTTTGTACAAAAAAAAATCATGATATTTATATGATAAAAAATTTATAATTTTTTTACACACTTCTATGTTGGAAAATAAAAATATTAAAATGTATTTTCTTAATATTTAGATAATAATGTAAAAATAAATAACATTTTATTATTGTAATTTGTAAAAATATTACTCCCGTTACAGTGAAGAACCTGTTCCCTTAGAAGGGGGAAAAAAGAGAAATGATGATGAGAATGCAATTGCAAAGTGTAACAGCAACCCATGAGACCACATGCAACAAGAAATTCTTTCTGTCAACGGTCAATTGAACGGATATCAGGGGACAGGCACGTGCGGTGGGTAGCAGAGAAGTAAGTCTCGGTGCACCAACGGTCATATTTCACAGGCATCATATAACTGCACCAACGGTTATATTTCACCGACATCCTACAACGGTCGTATAATTATATCAGCTCACATCTGTGCCGTTGGTTGGATCTGTATCAGACGGTGGTGAGGAATCCAAGGTTCCCCTTGTTTTGTCTTCACCTTGTTCTTTTTCTTACCTCAGTCACTGCTAAATCAAATCAGTCGTAGGCCCAGCAAACACAAAGCTATGATGGAGACAGTGTTGGAGTGGTGAAGTGCAACAACTCATATCAAATATGAAGGAGGTCCCCTAGTACATTATATAAAAGCTTAACTCTTTAAAGGTTTGTGTTTCTTTTGGGTAAGTGATCAGCCTTCAAATTAAGAGGTGTTTCTTCTTCTTTCATGCATGTCTGAAGCGTTTTCCGAGGTGGGGTTTCTGGCTTTTGATCCTCCGGGTTCCTTTTCAGCCATGACGTTCTTGTTGAACCTTTCCGCTGCTAATATGGGTTTGAATATTTCTCAGGACTTCAGCCACAAATTTGAAGAAGTATGTTTCTATTTCCCCTCCCTTGTTCTTAAACAAAATACATCACCGCATTTTCTAATGACCATTGCTTGAATGTTTCTGGAATCCGATGATCGTTTTATGTGGTAGGTGTTTTCATTAGTCTTGCCAATTCTTTCATTCTTTTCCAAGTGGAGATTTTATTTTATTTTATTTTATTTTAGGTTTTGTTTGCATATAACAACAGCACCTCCCCATTCTTTTGCATTTACAGATTCATCTTATCACACAGCAACACTTTGAATTTGTAAAGAAAAACTAAGAGCTTGATTCTTTAATTTTTCTCAGGCTTGTTTTGGAGATATTCATCGGATTCCTTTTCTTTCTTTCTTTTTTCTTGGTTTCGGACTTGAAAAATTCCTTAGAAACTTCACACACACGTGTACACATAGATCGTCTCTCTGCATTTCTCCTCCTCTTAAACATACACACATGCAAAGTTTTACATGAGTTTCTACTACGGGTACTCTTGAGGTTGAAATAAAACCAACGCATACATTTCCTCCATTCATTTATACATACATATATATATATATATATACTTGATCAAGCTATTACTAGATAGATAGAAAGAAACAAAGGGAAGGGAAAAAGAAGCAGCTAGCAGCATTGGGTGGGGTGAATTAACCAGCTTTACAAAAAGCATAGAGGATGTTGGCTGGGTGTTCTAGTTCTACATTGTTGTCACCAAGGCATAGATTGAGGAGTGAAGCATCTGCACAATTTCAAGCTTGCCATTTCCAACAACCTTCGATGAGCACGCAGAGATTGGACTTGCCTTGTAGCTTCCCGCGGAAAGATAGCTCTCGTTCGCAGCAACTTAGGCCGGTGGGCCTTTCAGTGGAGAAGCCGATTGAAGCCAAGACCGGTTCTTATTCTCTGAAGCAGAACATAAGACTTCCACCTTTGGCAACCACATCACAGGCGGCCACAAGCACTCACCAGATCAACGATGAGTTTTGGGACAAAAGCGCTAAGAGTCTGAAGAGGCTTGCAGAGCACGAGTCTTCTCCCAAGAAAGCCAAGAGAAAAAAGGGTAGCAGCGATGATGTTCTGGAAGGAGGAGGAGGAGGAGGGGAGGGTTTGAGTTTGGCTCAAATGGGTGCTGGAAATTTTTGGTTACAGCCTGGCCTTGACATGACTACAAGGACTTCACTTCCTTTCTCTCTGACTTGTTCAGGGGATGAGGAAAGGGTCTGTTTTGTTCCTAGTGAAGTGGTTTCTGCTCCTGCTCCTTGGGTGGAATCTTCTATAACTAAGATCACGGACCTTGGTGAGAAGAACGCTGAGGGTAGCCACCACCTTCCTCCTGTAAAGGAAGCCTCACCCTCCGATTCTTCATCAGAAAGCCAAGGCTTGAGCCTGAGGTTGAATGAGAATGTCTCGGAGCATGAAGTGGGTAATGGGTCAGGGATTCCTCCGCATCACTATCAAGGCACTGAGGTGGAGACAGGAGAGGAGGATAGCCAAGAGGAGAATCGTGGATTTGAACTTGTTAGTTTACTCACTGCTTGCGTTGAGGCTATTGGATCGAAGAATGTGGCTACAATCAACCATTTCATAGCAACATTGGGTGATCTTGCGTCTCCAAAGGGAACCTCAATAAGCCGTTTGTGTGCTTATTTTACCGAAGCCTTAGCCATCAGGGTTACCAGGCTCTGGCCTCATATATTTCATATTACCACTCCTCGGGAGCTAGATAGGGTGGTGGTGGAGGATGAAACTGGCACTGCATTAAGGCTTCTGAATCAGGTCAGTCCAATCCCCAAGTTCCTTCATTTCACTTCAAATGAAATATTGTTGAGAGCTTTTGAAGGGAAAGACAGGGTTCACATCATAGATTTTGACATAAAGCAAGGGCTTCAATGGCCGAGCTTGTTCCAGAGTTTAGCTTCGAGGACTAATCCTCCAAGCCATGTTAGAATCACGGGCATTGGGGAGTCCAAGCAAGAGCTGAATGAAACCGGTGATAGGCTTGCTGGATTTGCTGAGGCATTGAACCTTCCCTTCGAGTTTCATCCAGTGGTGGATAGACTAGAAGATGTGAGGCTTTGGATGCTTCATGTGAAGGAACACGAAAGTGTGGCTGTGAATTGTGTTCTGCAGCTACACAAGACGCTTTATGATGGGAGCGGAGGAGCTTTGAGGGATTTTTTGGGGCTCATTCGCAGCACAAATCCTACAATGGTGGTTATGGCAGAGCAAGAAGCACAGCACAATGAGGTCAGGTTGGAAACAAGAGTGTGCAATGCTTTGAAATATTACTCTGCTCTGTTTGATTCCATCGATCACTGCCTTCCAAGAGAGAGCCCCATGAGGACTAAGATAGAGGAGATGTATGCTCGAGAGATCAGGAACATCATTGCTTGTGAAGGAAGCGACAGGTTGGAGAGGCATGAGAGTTTCGTGAATTGGAGGAAGATGATGGAGCAAGGAGGGTTCAGATGCATGGGAGTTAGCGAGAGGGAAAGGATTCAGAGCCAGTTGTTGTTGAAAATGTATTCTTGTGATAATTTCAATGTGAAGAAGCAGGAGCTAGAAGATGGAGCAGCAGCAGCACTAACTCTTGGTTGGCTAGATAACCCCCTCTACAGTGTCTCGGCATGGGCACCAGTTGATGCTGCAGGCACTTCATCCTCTGTTTCTCAGCCTATTTGATTGCCGTTGGGGGGGGGGGGGGGGGGGTTTTCTTCATACATTCCGTCACTCTTCACGTATACACACAGAGACAAAAGAATAGAGAGAGAAGTATTCTTTGTAGGTAGGAAAATTGTTATTATTCTTTCATTCTTTGTTGCAGATAAAGAATTACCAGTTCAAAAAGTGATTAGTACAATTTGTATGAATACAGCAATTATGTTTTCTGTTCTTTATATTATAGGTCAGATTTTTAAATATCAGATACATTTGGAGTCAATTTGTTCTCATTATTTTATTCTTTCTGTAAGATGAAATTCAGTCCATTTCTTCAATGTTTCGGAGAGTCAGTTGTGACTGGGGAATTCGGTCATTATATATGAAATGAATTAGTTTTTTGTGTCATTCTCTGCTCTCTTTACATTCTTTACCTATTGCTATTTCGTATCTAATATTCATATACAAGCTAGTCACACATCTCTACCGTTTTCTCATCCTTTCAAGCAAGTTATGCTACTGTGCTTACTCTTCTAGCTGAAATGTAGCTTGTAGCATCGTTTTCTGATTGTTTTTTTAATAGCTCGATTATCATGTGCTCACTTTGATTAGTCTCCATAGCTGAATATGAACTTCATATCTTTCAAAGCACACAGACACCAAAAGTTACAAATTTCAATCAGAAACAGATGTGTATGTATTAATACAAGTCTCGTAGAGACCCAGCTCTAAAACAGGTATCTGTATCCTTGCTAAATATGAACGTTTGACATTCCAAAGCAATGGACACGAAAAGGATCAAAAAAATTTCATCCTTATTTGATAGTTTTACTCAATGTATCAAATAATCCCCGGATGAAATAACAATGATTTATTTATTAGAATAAATCAAAAATAAAAATTACTGTTAATAAGTCTTATTTATATGCGTGAAGTATATGTAATAGGGAAAGAAAATTTGTGCCACGTAAGTTGTGTCTTTTTAATTTTTTTTACTCTATGTACTTCCGGTAGTACATAATTATAATATGAAAAGTTTTTTATCCTTGCTAAATATGAACGTTTGACATTCCAAAGCAATGGACACGAAAAGGATCAAAAAAATTTCATCCTTATTTGATAGTTTTACTCAATGTATCAAATAATCCCCGGATGAAATAACAATGATTTATTTATTAGAATAAATCAAAAATAAAAATTACTGTTAATAAGTCTTATTTATATGCGTGAAGTATATATAATAGGGAAAGAAAATTTGTGCCACATAAGTTGTGTCTTTTTAATTTTTTTTACTCTATGTACTTCCGGTAGTACATAATTATAATATGAAAAGTTTTTTATCCTTGCTAAATATGAACGTTTGACATTCCAAAGCAATGGACACGAAAAGGATCAAAAAAATTTCACCCTTATTTGATAGTTTTACTCAATGTATCAAATAATCCCCGGATGAAATAACAATGATTTATTTATTAGAATAAATCAAAAATAAAAATTACTGTTAATAAGTCTTATTTATATGCGTGAAGTATATGTAATAGGGAAAGAAAATTTGTGCCACGTAAGTTGTGTCTTTTTAATTTTTTTTACTCTATGTACTTCCGGTAGTACATAATTATAATATGAAAAGTTTTTTATCCTTGCTAAATATGAACGTTTGACATTCCAAAGCAATGGACACGAAAAGGATCAAAAAAATTTCATCCTTATTTGATAGTTTTACTCAATGTATCAAATAATCCCCGGATGAAATAACAATGATTTATTTATTAGAATAAATCAAAAATAAAAATTACTGTTAATAAGTCTTATTTATATGCGTGAAGTATATGTAATAAGGAAAGAAAATTTGTGCCACGTAAGTTGTGTCTTTTTAATTTTTTTTACTCTATGTACTTCCGGTAGTACATAATTATAATATGAAAAGTTTTTTTTTCTCTCCTTAGTCACATAGTTATAACATGAAATTTTTTTTTTCTCTCCTTAGTCACATCAACAAAAAAGTAATTTTTCATGTTATAACTATGTACTACCGGGAGTATATAAAGTAATAGAGTAAAAAACTAAGGGAAAACTTTTTGTCCTTTCAAAGGATGTAAGTTGTGTCCTTTTAATTTTTTTATTCACTCCCGGTAGTACATAATTATAACATGAAAAATTATTATTTTTCTCTCACCTCAGTAGTCACATCATCTGACATGATAAGTAAAAAAAAGAGTAATTTCTCATGTTATAACTATGTATTACTAGAAGTACATAGAGTAAAAAATTAAAATGACATTATTTACATCTTTTAAAATGATACACACAGAATCCAAAAGCTAAAAGGACACAATTTACATCATTTAAAATCACACACCATCAGCCCTATGTAATATAATACAAAATTTAATAGTATATTATTCAATGCATCAAATTATCTTTGGATGACAAAGCTAAGTTTATTTTTTTTGTCTATGCTAGGGTAATACTCTTGCCTTATAATGGAAGATTTCTTGCAATTATATTTTGACTTACTTAAATCAAAATAATTAAAATTAAAACATGGTGCCTTTAGAAATTGAATCGATTGAGCCGTTGTTGCTTTACTTTTCGTTTTGTTTTGATTTTTATTTTTCGTTTTAAAGGAAAACTCACTGTTGAGAACAGCACAACTTTTTCTAATGACTTATCGTTAAAATAACCGTTATATATCAATACTTCGCACTGAAATTAGACTGCATTGGAGAGCATCTGTTATTCGTAAACTAAATTGTTAGTAAAAATAATAATTATACAATGGATATTTGAATATATGACCTCGTACCCAAACCGCTCCTCACTAAACCAATTTAATGACTTAATGTTGTAATTGTTTTGCAATGCTAAAGTTTGTATTAAATAATAGTAGTTCAGTTGGTGCCAGGGAACTAAGCAGGTGAGGGTGAGAGCATTTGTTCGATCTTTTCTATTTCTGTTTTTGAGAGAGATCTAAAGTCTTAATTGCGGGACCCGCTCTAAATCGAACTAGTCGCGAAATGATGAAATGATTGGAATATTTCAAAAAAAAAAAAAAAGTTTCATTGTTAGTGTTAAATAACTTTTTTCAGAGGAAGTTGTTATAGTTCTTTGTCTTAGGGGCGGTCTTTAGGCACGCCGAAGAGCTACATGACCATGGTCCATGGTGGTGCCGTGGTGGGCTTGCGAAAATGGGGTTGGGTACCAATAAAGATACTCTTATATTCAAGTTTATTTCAGAGCTAAAGATGGACAATAAAGTAAACGAAGAATTTAGTGTACTAGAGGCAATAATCTAAAGGTGCTTAAAAATGGACGAAGTTCTTGATAAGCTAAGACAATGGGTTTAATTATGGTAATGCACTTAATTTTTATTTATTTTAAATTTCTCCACCAATTTATTAATTACTCATCCAATCCAATTAAGTTGGAACCATTTGGTACTAGGGATCCATATATTGAGTTTAAGGGCTTGTTTGATGTGATGTATAAGGCCTGATAGTATAAGTTTATATTATATGTTATGACATTTTTAATTGCTTGGTATGACTATCGTATAGTATAAGCTTATACAGCAGGATCCCTTTATACATCAAAATGATGTATAACTTAATCAAGCCTAGGAGGGTAGGATTAAGCCTGATAAATGATTATGTATTAAACAATGCAATTATCAAGAATTAATATATTAAAATAAAAAATGATTTTTCAATATATAAATTTTTAAAATATTGGAGATTTTATTTTTATAAAAATTAATATTTTTTTGGACACACTGATCAACAAATTTCTACAAAAATTAATATCATTTGATATATTTGGAAGAATTATATAAATTCATTATTAAATGTATTTTTGTCAAAAATATTTATTTTTATCCTATCTAGTATTATACATGTATTACCAAACATTGGATGATATTATCTTATACAAAATATTATCTTATACAATATCATGTCAAACGCTAAATAGTATTAAAATTTAATCAGGTCTTATACTATCAGATTTTATACTATCAGACCTTATCTTCTACAATATATTATCTTATATAATATCGTATCAAATGTTGAATCATATTAAAATTTATTCAGGTCTGACTTACACTAGTTTGATGTATTAAAGAACTCTGTTGTATAAGCTTATACTATACAATGGTAACACTAAATAACTAAAATATCATAATCTATAATATAATCTTATACTGTTAAGTCTTATACATCACACCAAATAGACCCTTATGCCTTATAGTTATAACAAAAAGAAGAAGAAAAATATCTGAATCCAATGAAACCCCAGTTCCTCCACTTGAGAGCATTTGTAGTAGTTCCGGCACAGTTATTCTTTCTATTAAGGAGCTGTTATTTAAAGAAAAAAATAAAATTTCTCTCTTTTCCATACAAGCAAGTGAGAAAATACTCAAATTTCCCTCCACTTGTGAAGGAGATAATATAAGAAACTAGGAAGAGAGAATAAGAAAAGAAGAGGACAAGAGGAAAAGTAGAAGAGAGGAATGAATTTGGGGATTAAACAAAGCTATTTTATTCAATCCATTTTCTGCAATATATAGGAACAACTCGTATAACTAAACGATAAGAATGAAATTCTAGACTAATCCTAATCTAGTTGCAATTGCTAAAAATGTTACTGAAAGCGATAACAATAAAAAGCTACGATAACTTTGAGAGGTATTCAAATGGCTTGGGACAATGGCTGGAGGAAATTAGTTATTGAAAGTGACTCTTCAACAGCGGTCACGTGGCTTACTGCAAGGAGTAAGCCAGCCTGTGAGTATCATATTGTTACTCGTATACGGGCTTGGATGAATAGAGAGTGGTCTGTTGTTATTAAGCATTCGTACAGAGAAGGAAATTACTGTGCGGATTGGTTGTCTAATTTCCTTTTGTTGAATCCGGAGTTAGAGGACTTTTGTATTATTTTTGTCCCCCTCCGGGGATTTATTTCTTATATTTAGCTGATTTGGGTGATTTTGGTAGAACTCGTTGTATTGGGCCTAGTTAGCCTTTTCT